AATACGCTGATTTTTAGTTATTTAAAAAAATATCAACTCGACCGGAGAGATAAAAAAATATATTATATGTATACAATATATATAAAAATGAGCAGTATGAACGAAACAATAATAGGTACGTAAACAAATTATGATAAAAAAAAAAAAAGCTAAATTAAATTAAACTTTATTGCAAGTTTTTGGCGAATAAACAATAGTATGCATCTGCATAATAGACAACAGTTAATAATTATAGGAGTAACCCATGGCCATAATTATGCTTTTTTCAATTGAAAAATAAAATACACCGAGTCCCACCATCAAATTGTCAAAGATCGCTATTAAATCTAAAAAATAAAACAATACATATACATATTATATACTTATCTACTGGAACAGCACAATAGACTTGCACATTAATAATATGACCCAGTTTTATTGAAATTGAAAAACAGAACATTTTAAATAGGTATAGGTTGTATAAAATTAGTGTGTGTGTGTATGTGTGTGATGGATATAGATGGGAGATAAGACCCGCAGCTAGGGCTTAATAAAATTGGCTCAGGCCAAGATCACATATCAGAAAAGGTCACAAAATCCAGAATTTTTACGTAATAAAAGTATACGTTGAAAAGTTTTGTTACAGTTCTGACCATTCATATATTAATAATATAAATATTGTAAACGATAAGAAAAAAATATCTGTAGGTATGTTGAAGTCACGTATTAAAGGTCAATACAAAATGACAATTTAAACAAATAACTTGAAAATAATGTTAGTCATTTTAGTAGTTATGTGGGAGAAGAGTTGAAGAAGTGAATGAGTTAATAAAGTATATCGTTTACACTATAAAATCAATAAATGTCGACAATGTCAAGGTTACGTGTCTTAAAAATGGTTTAAAACCGTTATGTTATAAAATACTAAATACATTAATCTTTAGAATTCTATATAAATAAATAGCAACAGAGATAGTTTTTTTCAATACTAAAATATTTCTTATATTTAAAGATATGAGTATACCATATTTTTCTTAAATCCAGTGGAATATTCGTGTAAAACATTCGATATATTATTAAACATTTTATGAAATATATGACGATTTGTAACCTGATACTCACCTTGTTAGTTGTTGATTTACAAATTTTATCACAAGGAAAAGCGATAGCATATTGATACCTAATCGTAATTACGTAGGTAACTAAAATATGGCTACTAAAAATATGGATATACTTCGCACGTGGGTGCAGCCACGGTTATAAGTGGGAAGTTGGGAAAGTAGGATACAGACGGAAATTTAATGTATATCTGTAAGCAACGATAAATCATTACTAACAATAAAACGATTCTGAGCTGAGTTCAGTTGATAGTGTTGCTTTGTTGACAATATATATGTCATATTACGGTAAAATAATTCATTAAACATTTTTTTTAATAATATTTGTTGAATATTGTACCTATTTTATCATTCTTCTGGTTTTTTTTATTTTTACAATATGTTGAGAAAACACCTGAAAAAAATCAAAAAATAACTTCGCTAAAGTACCTTTTCAATTAGATTTTTTTTCAGAAAAGTACTATCATTGTAAATCAAAGTGAAATTGCTGGTAGAAAAGTTGTCCACAGAAAAAAAAACAGTATTTTACTAATATATTGACTGGAGAAATACTTTATTTCCCCAATCAGATTTCTTTTTCCAAACGTACTATCAATGTAAATCGGAGTAATATTTCTGGTAGAAAAGTTGTTTAAAGATATATATATATATATATATATATATATATATATAATAAACATTGTTGCAATCCAAATAGTTTATCGTTAGCTTTGCAATATAAAAAATACAAGAATAACTTCAAAAAAAATGTAAGGCTAAATTTAATTTTTATGAACAAAAATTCAGAAATGTAAGTTCTAATCCAAAAATGATATGGAAATTAATAAGTGAAATTACCGGTTCTAAATTGAATTCTAATGATGATATTATTAAACTAAAAAATAATGACTGTGAAACAAATGCAAAAAATGATCCAATAACTGCATCTAATAAGTTAAATAATTTCTTTATAAATATCACACTGGATAGTTTAAATAAACCAATCACTTCAGGAATAAACTACATTCATAAAACGTTTCGTTTAATGATGTGTTTCTAAAAAAAAATTGAATCGTCGGATTATTTGATATTATTAATAGCCTTAAAGACGATACAAAGAATTTGGTGTATTGCCTATACGGTTTTTATATAAAAATTTGCAATTATGTATTTGGTTAAGAAATTTAATTTAAATAACGATCAAAAGGAGGTAAGCAACAAAAGGGAAATGAAAAAATATGATTTGACTGTTAAATATGCGAATACTTCTTTCGGTCAGCGTTTTGTAGACTATCAGGGTCTAACTTCTTTCAACTCTATGCCCTATGACTTTAAAAAAAAAATACTTGGTAGTGTAATTGTAAATATTAAAGATCTAACATACAAATATTTATTCTTTGAATTAGACAAGGATTTACAGTAATATAACCCAATTTTATTTCATTATTTTTATTTATTGTACCTATACCTATAACACATATTTTTGATTTATTTTTATTTATTTATTTGCATTTAACATTGTTATTTAGAAAATAAGCTAGTTTATATATTTTTAGAGTTGTTTCAAGATGTATTTAAATTTTTTTTTTTTTAATTGAAATATATTTACAATATGGTCTTATTTATTATATATATAGATTTAGTTATAATTATGCTCCTTATCTCCAACACAAGCTGCACAAGCTTACAGGGGGTAAGTTAATAAATTCTGAAGCATATTTAATTTTCATGTATATTAAATGTTTTGTTTTTGATAAATTAAAAAAAAAAAAAACCATAGCCTTCTTCGCTTTACTCAAAATCTAAAATGTGCAAGGTTCTAATTTTATTAAAATGTATATTATATTAGATTTTATAGATAATTTTATACAGCATAGTAATAATTTTAATAGTAATACTGATATTTATTAGTATATTATTAATTTATTATCTTATTATTATTTTTAGCGTAAAAAAAAATTTCGGGTGTCGCCGCAATTAATGGTAAAGTTACTAAAATTTTTAATAAAAATGAAATATGTTGGTTACAGATAGAATATGATTTGAGTATTTCAATAAGTCATTCAAATATTGGTTTATCACATCACTTTATTTTCCAAAGTTGTAACTAAATAAGAAGTGCATCCAAAACCAAAAAATCTGAGTATACTTAAATTGAAATCACTTGACTCAGTTGTTAAAATAATGCATTATGTTGGGAAGTAAAAATTATAGTGATGATATAATTTTTGTATGGTTAGTAAAGTGTTATTTTAATTTAATAACAGTTATACGAAATTATTATGTTTCAGGACAATTGATAACAATATTCATACGATTTTGTTGACGAGCTATTATTCTAGAAATTTTAATATATTTTTAGCCATCAACAGATTTCAAAAGGAGAAAAATCAGAAGATTTTTAAAAATTGTATCAAATGTATGATTAATATTTTTTATTTTTTATTTTCACGTAAGTTAAATAGTTAATTAATTAATTATTAGTGGAATTATCATTGAAAACAAATATTATTAAAGAACATATGATATAATGCCTATTTAATTATTTTACCAAAATATGTTATTTACAAAGCATCACTATCAACTGAATTTCACTCAGAAACGATTTTTTCGTTAGCAATGGTTCATCATTGCATACAGAAATACATTAAATTTACCCACTATCACCTTCCCGACTTCTCACCTATAAAAGTGGCTGCACCCGTCCCTATTATCCTAGGACAACCGTTTTTGGTCTTGTCCTGTTCCAAAAAATAAATACTTTGTTTTACTTCTTATCCTACCTTAACCCATTATCATTAAGTGCTACTCCCCTCTACTCATTCCTCAAATGTATTGTTTACTTATTCTAGAATTTTTCCTATCAAAACTATATCATCTGCAACTATTATGCACTATGGTACTTCCTTTCACCTGTTATCACTGCACATATCTTAGATGAGATAATCCACCAAACTTTTGTTTGGAACTCCTCATACTGTTTGACAGAATTTTACACTGGCTGCCGATTTAACGCAGCCAAATTTATCACCGCTTATGATAAGTAGAGGTACCTTGGGAGTATTTCGATCCCCTCTCACATGGACAATGATATTGTCAAATATAAAGCGAAATTATCCACCCTACAGAAGCAAACCTATATGCCTACTGGAATCACCCACACCTGGTCTTTCCACCAGTAGGAGCTCAGGCCCCGGGCTTGCTTAATCTCTAGTATCATATGCTCCTAATAATTTTCTGATTACTTATAGGTTATAGGCAGTATCTAGACGCGGTAAAACATTCTTGCGGTTTTTGAACTATTTTAGTCATTCGCAATATTGTAGATATTTTTAATTTTTAATTTTTAATTTTTTGGTTTTATTTGGATAAAATGACTTGCAAATTACAAGGTCTATTATAAGTTATTAGTAAAGCAGTTTTAAGTTCAAATGTTGACGATAATCGTAATTATATAACAGAATAATTCGGCCGAATACTATTTTCCGATTGATGTAAATACAATCTTTTCGATACAGCATACATGTTCAAAAATTTAACACAAGGGTTCATCATAAGTTGTAGAAAATTATGACAATACATAAAATACCCGTAATAGACTGGCTTTTATTTATCGGTAGCAGTACGATAGGGAGAAAGAGATTATACCTTAAAACTCANATATACATAATACAATATACATAGGTATACATTTGTATGCTAAATTTTACAATTATTTTATTACAATTATTTTATTTTTTTCCGTATGTGTATATTTTTTACTAATTTTTACTTCTAATTTTTTTTTAAATCGTTTACACAGAAACATAATGCAGGCCACACATACAGTTGTTTTACTATCACATTACGTGTGGTTTATATAGTTCTTTACAATTACGTCAAGCGGCACAACGTGTCTCCCGTATTTTTACTCGGCTTGCAGCAATGCTGGCATTGTTAATCATGCACTGTCTGAAGACGTTTGTGTTTTTGTTGCACTCTGTGCTCTTATTAGCCGTTCTTAACAATGTACAGAGCACCAGAGTGTCACCATCGCACACCCAACATCATCCCATAGTGTATAAATATAGACGTTCTTACAGTTCTTTTGATCATCTGCAAGCTACGTCTGACAAAGTCAAACGTCGATTCGACGATATCGAAAAATCCACTGGTGACTCTAGGATCTATCGCGGATTGGTATTGAAGAATGGATTTACCGCCTTGTTGATCAGTGATTCTGACACCGACCAATCGGCTGCATCTCTTTCCGTCGCAGTTGGTAATTTTTTCAATATTCATATTTATTTACTACCTACATATAAAGGGTGATCAACATACTTGTGTGAAGTTGCCCTCCTATCGACTAAATCAAACTGGACCGATTATAAATCAAAGATCTTCATTTGTAAGTATTTGTAAGTAAGTTTTCGGAATTTGTTAGTCAAATCCTGGCTTTCTGGCGAATTATTGAGTTTAAAATAAGCATAACTATAAGCATAGTTTTTTACAAAATTATATAAATATCTTAAATAATTAAATATAAATACAAAATATATGTATAGAAATAAAAAAAATAAATAAATAAATAAATGAATGCTTCGTCTGGTGTTAAAATATAAATGTAAAAATGATGAAACATAATATTAATAAAATACGATATTTGTATAACGTATACGAAGATTTACTCACTTTTTGCACGGTGGCACTATGGATAAAATGATTTCGTCAAGAATATTGTTCATATTTGTAAAATAAATACAAGAGTTTTAGGAAAAAAAAAATTATTTGTTAATCGTTGAACAGACATAAAAATCATGAACTTAATTATTTTTCGTTTTATTATTAGAAAATAACATAAATTATAACCTCTTAAACTATTGTATTATATACTATTATTTTTATTATGTATTGGTCAGAAGCGTTTGGAAAGAATAAGTTGGAGAGAAAGAAAAACAAATGGAGAAGTACATAGAACTGTGGGAGGAAAACGTACATTCATAGATGTGATTAGAAGGCGTTGGAAAATGGTCGGACATATCCTGAGACACCCAAAAAAGTTGCATAATATAATATTAGAGGGTAAGATAGAAGGAAAGAAAACTGCAGGACGTCCTCAAACTCTTATATAGGACAAATCAAATGAGTTGTAAGAGTCAATACTTTTGAGGAACTCAAAGAAAAGGCGATTAATTGGCTAGAATGGAGAATTAAGAGTTGTAAACTAACCTTAGGGTTGAAAAAAAAATTGGTCAGAAAAAATTGAGAAATGGAAAAATTATTATATTTATTAACTAATATTATTAAATATAACTTATTTTTCATACCACCGTGATTTTTGAAATGAGTCATACAGTACTCTACTATGCCGAACCAACTGATGAGGACACGGACATGAGAGCGATCGAAAAGTGCGTACAAAACCGCGTACACGCGTGAATGGTGCGCTTCGTGTATAACTTGCTGTTAATTATTAAAAGAAAAATGTGTTGTTACTTACATTGATTATCCATAGAAATAGTATGCTTCTAACGTTTAATAATTTAAATTATTATAGGTACGTTCTTAGTAAGTAATGTTTGGCAGCAAGTTTTGCGCTCACTTTATTGAATAATATACTTGATTATTATACTAGATAATTATCAAAATTATGGGATAACATCTAGAAAAACCAAATATAAGTTTTTATCAAAACTTCAAGTGTTAACGATTATTTTTAATTGAAGTACAATAAAAAAATTAATTTAAAATTAATAAAAGAAGTTTATTCGTACATTTTGTTGTTGTTTTGTACAGTTTGTTCGTTTATTTTCCAGTAATTTCTATGTATTTTTCGGTTTTCTCAATTATTTAAAAAAGATAGAAAACCTGGTCATCAACTGGATTAAAAATTCAACATAAAAAATCTCTTGTTAATTTTCTATTGGAGCTATATTTTTTTAGAAAATATAAGTCATAAACATTTAAAAATTTAAAGTAATGAAATCGTTGTGCCTCAATTTGGTAACTGTGTAAGACTCAATGTATTGGAAAAAAAAATTTCTGATCGAAAAGTTGTACACAAACATAAAAAAAAGCTGTTCTATGATAATTGGGACAGGTGCAGACACCGTTATAAGTGAGAAGTTTGGAAGATAATAATGGGAAAATTTGAGGTATATCAGTACACAATGATTAACTATTGTTAATGAATAACCGATTCTGAGCGGAGTTCGGTTGATAGTGATGCTTTGTCATATTTTGGTAAAATAATTACATATGTAGGCATTATATATTTTAATTAATAATATTTGTTTTATATTATATTTTTATTCCAATGTATTGGGAAAATCAAAAATTGACCTCCATAAAGTACCACCCCAGTCAGATTTATATCGGAACAAAATGAATAGTAGAATAGTTGTTCTTGGATAAAAAAAAAAATAAACATCATTGTAAAAGTATTAAATCTCTCGCCCCACTCAGAATTTAAAATATTAAAAAAAAAACAAATTCAAGAACCCACATCATAGTATGGATCCCTTGCTACGCTCCGAATATGAAATCCGGATGTAGTCATGTGTGAGCTTCAACTACCAAAATCGCATTCATTACTTGCATATTATTATTATTTCAATAAATTATATTTTTAATCAAATATTATAAAAAAAAGCATTTTTTACTGTGGGTAATAGGAAAACCCTATAGTACTATTTTGAGATATTCAATTTTTAAATTTTTTTTTTCTATTTGTGTTTTGTGAACAACTTTTATAAAATAATCTTGCTCCAATTTTCAAATGTACTACTTTTTCGTAGAGGGAATTTTTTGATTTTATATATGGATTTTATTATAAATTAGAATAAAAGAGAGAAATGTAGAAAATGTGTTATTTTTTTCTCTTGTAATTCAGTTAAATACATTCGCAGAGAATTGGAAATTTGACAAAAAAACTTGTATTCATTTTTCTAGACTTAGCAAAATGTTCAAAACATTTAAGCTATTTTTGAGCTGTTTATAAACATATTAGCTTTTTGAGTTGTTTAAGTAATTAATGTTTAATTGTAGGGTACTTTGAAGATAAAATTGATTGACTAAATAGATATGTTTGAAAATTTAAAAAGAGATTGAGTCGTAATTTTTGAGATATGTGTAGTATTTTTTTATAAGAATTTTAACACCAAATATTGATAAAAATAATAAATATTATGAAGTTTTAAACCTGTATAACCGAACTCCATCCAAATCATATTTATTAGCAATAGTTTATCGTTAAATAAATTTTCCTTTATATCCTTCTTTCTTAACGTCTCACCTACAACAGTTCCTCACCAACTACTCGTCATGCGAAGTATACCGTCTTTTTAATACTCAAAATAATCTCTGTCAAAGTGTAACAACATGTCCCTGGGTACGGTATATTTGTACACTTTAGATTACAGTATACAATTTTGTAAGTTATTCTATTATTGGAATTTGGTGCTGCACTGTATAATAAACAAATATTAGTTATAAAAAAATTCTTCCTTACATGAATTCGTGGTTGTTAAAAAGAAAATTGTACAAAAAAATTTAGGTAATTTTGGTAAGAAAAATATAAAAACACATATTATTGAATTATTTATTACAATAGTATATTACTTTTTTTTGTAAATGTTCGGATGATTAGGAAT